TAATGTTTTAATATAATTAAAAATTTTAATTCAAACAAATTGATTATAAACCATATTTTTTTATTTAGGGCAAATAAAATAAAATATGGATTTATGATTTGATTTATTTAAATAAAAAAAATAATTGTGTCATGGACGATTTGATTTTATTGATATTTTGATAACAAAACCGTTCTAAACCACTATGAAATTTTTAATTCAAAAACTTAAAATCAACTATTTAGATTTTAACCAAATAAAATATTCATACATACTCTTAGCTTAAAATTGAATACATTCCTATACAAGCTTCAACAGTGGCGGATCCAAAAAAATTTAAAGTAGGGGGCACACTTAGGGGGTGTAGTCGCGTAGAAAAATAATTCAAAACCAAATAATTTATCCGGATGAAAACGGTTTTGGATTTTCCTTTTCGGCTTAAACGGTTCAGTTAACTGAACAAAGATAACTTATTTAGGTTGATTTTCGGATGACATTTTACTAATTAATCGAGGTGTATAATTTTTATATTTTATATTTCGAACAAAAATATCAATGTGTGCTGCAAATTGACTAATTAACAATCAGGATATCAAGTTCGGGGCCCTTGCCTTGTTTTTGTTGGGCGCCTTGTCTTATTTTTGTTGCGTATACAATAGGAAAATTTACCAAATTTTTTTTTATAGATTTAAAAAAAAAATAAAAATTGGTGGTTTATTGGGGGCCTAGGACCCCTACCACTATGTATTGAATCCGCCACTCAGCTTCAACCATGTTTTCATACCGAAATAGACAAAAATATTAGAACAATAAAATTAAGGGGGTGTTTGGGATTTGCTTATTTTATCTGCTTATTGACTTATTTCAGTCTGGCACCGGTGATAAGCTAATAACTAGTGTTTGGATAAGAAAAAAGAAAACTGCTTATACCGGTGCCAAATCGGTAATAAGTAGTTTTTGATAAGTTAATCCGTCCTGACTTATGAAAAACTGTTTATTACTAGTTTACCATTTTAACCTTATTACCCTTTATACCTATCTTTTTTCCTCCAGATAACATCGATCTCAATCTTCTCTCTGTCTTTTTTGGTCATTTTACAGATATAAGCAAAATTTGCCAAACACTAAAAAACAACTTATCAGCTTATTGCAGTTTGGTACCGCTGTAAGCTAATCTAAACACTTT